AAACAAACTAATCTAGCTGTCTAGACACTAGTGAAAACTCTGATTTTTTTTACAGCATAGGCTGCAGAGCTTAGTGTGCTTGCTAGTTTGGATATATGGGGGCCCCACTGAAGCTTTGCGTCGAGAAAGATGCCAAGAAAAACAGAGGATTCAACAGAGCTCAGTTCTTTTCCATTTAAAAACACATTGGTATTTAGGTTTTTTAAAATTCGTTGTTGTAATTTTAATACAATTATTTTTATTGCCGTTTAAATGCAGATTATTAACGTTAAACGAATGCATACATTTTTCAAATTTCCAATTTTTTGCCCATCATTCCTTATAAATTTTGATGCACCAGGTGTAAACAAGTCTTATTACTTATTGTTGGGCTGCATTTTAGATTAATCAAATTATTTTTATTGCTATAGATTGCCTCTATTGTCGGATGCACTAATTTAAATTATTTGGAACTGATTCCAAATTTACATAATATAATATAAAATATTATATTATGTACAATATTAAAAACTATACTGATAAAAAAATCTAAAACTAGAAACTTGATTATCATATAGTCCTACTCCCCGCGGTATCGTGCCAAGAACGCTGACTGCGTTTCCCCACTGAATGGCTATACTTAGCCTTTGAGCGAGAAAAGAACCAGGCCTCTTATCACCAGCAGCAACGACCAGCCGCGGATGGAGTTCTTTTAGGAAATTAACCGCACGTGAACCCCACGGACCGATAGTCTCTACAGCAAATGTGTAGTCGTCTCTCAGAGACTCATATCTACGCCACTTATTCAGTTCAGTTTCAATGCAAGTTACTCAGTTCAGCCTTTAATGCCGCCAAATTAAATTTCAAATGATTACATTGCTCAATAGCAGCAGTCTTGGTAGCCAAAAACTTGGCTAAGTTAAAATGTAAATTATATTAGGATAAGTAATACCTATATTTTGTCCAAAACGTCTTAATTACATTATTTATGTCAATTCCATGAAATTTGTCATTATTATCATTACAATTATATGTCAAATTTAAATTATTATTACATATTAAATTTTTCATTTGTAAATTTAAGTTATGTCTTAGATTATTTTCCTGTGGCAATCCCTGTATATAAGGCAGTGTGAAATAGACAATTTTGTGTACATTTAAGTTATTAAGTTGTTCAGTATATCTTAATAACTGTTTGTTGTTTACACTGCCTCTTCTACCATAAAAAAATATTATTGTACTATTTGTGCAAAATTAAGTAACTATAATTTTATTTAAGATGTCACTGAAAGATGTTCCAGGCATGCAGCAATTTATAATTTTCTGTTCCTTTAAAAGCTTTAAAAGCTTTATTTAAAATTATGCCTAACTTTTTCCCATGTCATATATATGAATTATTTTTTAATTTAATCTCCTCTGCTATTGTACTGTCATAGAGTTTTGGTGGTGATATAATATTATCAGCACACACGGACTGTGAAGAAACTGATATTGACCGTTGACACACACATTCATGTTTTACTACGGAGTCTAACACTTTTCAATATATTTACATGTCTTTACCAGATTATCCATAGCCAGTATGTGTTTTCTTATTTCATTTTGAGCTGATTTATATTTATTATATTTACAGTTTGAAGGGAGTTAGAAAGTTGAAAATTTCTGATTTAATGCACTCTACGTCAGTCTCATAACATTTTTTAATTTTATCCACCTCAATGGGATACAATTTAAGTTCAAATACTAATGCTTGCTTTTCTTTACATACATTAACATAATTTCTGGTATTAATGTTATTTTTTATTACCAGATCTGGTATTAATTAGTTTTTGTATTTTCTTCACGTATTTATTAACTTTTATATATTTCTTCAATTTGGTTTTAGTGCAATTAATCCTTACTGTTTTTCCTGAAGTGGAAGAGTCGTCACCTGTCAAATCTATTGTTGCAGATTGCTTTAATATTTTAGAATGTTTACATTGCACAAGCTCAGACAACAGGCTTTGAGTCTGGGATGCTTTTAGGTTATCTAAGTATGGTTTAAATTGTGCTATTTGCTCATTAGCCTCATTCAACTGTAACTTCAATGCAGAAATAAACCTGAGAGCTTCCTAATATTCCTTGCTGCATTGGTCAAACACATTAACCGTTGCCTGTAGCTGAACTCTTTCTTTTATAGCACTTGTGTAATCTCTAACTTAACCATATCACATTTCAATTGCATATTATTAGCAATAATGTCAAATATTTAATTTTCATTATCATCCCTTTCCTTAAACAACAGTTCACACTGCTCCTTGGACGCCTTAAGTTTTTGAGGCGCAAGCTGGAGTTGGTTCTCCATCTGGCGCGTCTTGGCGTTGCGAGTATTCATCTTACTATTTATTGTAAATGATAAAAGAAAACAAAAATTGAATCAGAAGAAGCAGAATAAACTAATGTCGAGTTGTAATTTTTCTTTACATTTTACTATTTACAGATCTCAAATCAAATTATCGCTAGAATAATTCCAAAAGAAACCCACAAAGAATATAATACTTACTCCGAGTAATAGAATAGGTATTTAATTATAACAAAGGAATGACAAGGAATAAGAATTACAATAGTTTTAAATAATGTTCGTTCGTTCGTTACCTGCCACTTTATGTTCCAACTCAAAATTGTTTTAATATTTAGATACCGAATTTCTTAATACAATTGCTTAATACAAGGCGGCAGTAATTATTAACTATAACATATATTGTAATTAACATATATTATAATATATTTTGATGGATATTATGAATTTAAAATATTAAATTAATAAAAATTTTCGGGACCAATTAGTTTTACAACTTATCACAAGGGTTGCCACAGTAAAAAAAAACCTTGAAAGGAGACCTGTGCCTAGCACGAGACGTATAAAGGCTTTTAAACACTTTTTAACTTTTTTTATTCCACATTTTTTATAACACTACTAGCGATCCGCCCCGGCTTCGCATGGTTGATTTCTGGATCTCCACAACAACGCCACCTACCGGGTCCAATTGTGAATCTACACCATCCTCTAATCAATTTAATCATACACACAAAATTTAATTAAAATCGGTCCAGCCGTTTAGGAGAACTTTATTCACATACACACGGACAGAAGAAATATATAATATACATGTATTGACATGAACATTTATACTCTCCTCTTAAATTATTCTATCTATTGATCTATCTATCCATTTATTACATCAATTAAAGTCCACTGCTGAACCGAGGCCTTCCCCATAGATTGCCTCACAGTGATTTCTGCCATAGTTACTACGCTTGGCAGGCGGGCTTATAACCGCAATGTTTTATAGTTTTTAATTATTATCATGAAGATGTTGCTGCTCATCTCCTCTTTCAGTTCCCTCTGTCGCCTCTTACGACACTCGCGGGACGATATTGAGTAGTAGGTATTCTTACACCACTATTACACGATTGTTTGTGCATGACTATTATTAATCTGTACACTTTCTAGGAACTGTACGCAATCAGCAGTCACCTACAACGCTACACTGTGGACCATAGATACATCTACCCTCGATCAAGAATTAAAAAACAGATACGTCGATACTCCTAAGGACTAATATGTAATTACCAGTAACAAAAGTCTCCAGTTCTTGTCGCTCACCATTCGAAATATAGTAGCACTGCCCTTTTTCACGCTGGTCATTCTGTGACAATGTGGTCCTTCTACGTTTTGCCGATTATGCTATAGACCTTATACGCCGCAAGGGGCCTCTACCATTAAAATAATTATGTATATACGTGGTAGAGCCATGTTATACATGGTAGAGCCATGTTATACATGGTAGAGCCATGCTGCAACTATATTAGTAGTATAGTTGTAGCACGAATAGGTCGGTACGACCGGGGAAGGACCACGCTCTCACAGAATACCAGCTTAAAATGGCAGCATAACACTGCTGTCTTTCGTATGGTGAGTGTAGAAAACCAGAGACCCATTTTACTGGAAAAGAGAAATTCCATCTTAGTCCACACGGGTGATGACGCCTCTGCATTTTGATTCTTTATTGAAGATAAATGTAGATGTCTATGGGTCACAGCAACCACTTACCATCAGGTGGATTGTGTGCTCGTTTGTCACCCTATCCTATAAAAAAATGTCCTCCAGACATAACGAGACTCCAGTCACGGCGGCCAATGTCAAAGGTATATGAGGCACTATAATTATAGCCATCGGCGCTGAACAAGATTATAGTGCCCAAGTGCATGCACAAGCACAGGTGCACTCTCTATTTCCTCACTCTCATAGTCCGATGGGACGGTAATCCGATACGATCGCAGGGTCGGGACCAACGGTTTTGCGTACTTTCCGAAACAGGGGGGTGAAACACCGTAAACTTACTGACTCTAGGCTTCTACTGAGAAAGTATTGACAAAAAAACCCAATAACTGATTTTGGCTCCACCCGACATTCGAACCCGGGACCTAATGTTTTTTTTTTATAGAATAAGTATGACAAACGAGCACACAGTCCACCTGATGGTAAGTGGTTGCTGTGGCCCATACACATCTACATCTATCCTCGTTTGCGAATTAAAATGCAGATGGGTTGTCACCCGTGAGGACTAAGATGGAATGCCTCTTTTCCCGTAAAATGGGTCTCCGGTTCTCTACACTCACCATACGAAACACAGCAGCATTATGCTGCTATTTTACGCTGGTATTCTGTGAGAGCGTGGTCCTTCTCCGGTCGAGCGGACCCATTCGTTCTACAACTATACTACTAATATAGCTGCAGCATGGCTCTACCACGTATAAAACCTCATGATCAGTAGTTGCAGTTACGATCACTAGACCAACGAGTCAGTCAGCAAAAATAGACAATAAATGTCATATTAATGCCATTAATATACAAAGCTCCAAAACCAAAGCAAGATTTTTTAATACATAAGTCATAATAGCAAGAGGGACTAATGAATTTTTGAAAAAAAAAATACACATATAAATATTAAATAGTTGTATTATGACAAGCAGTTCATTCAAATTACGTAAGGTTTCCTGGTCGCGACGTATTCTTTCACTCCTGGCAAGCTAAGAACTTCCTTCACGAGCATGCCCACGGTGGGGTATATTTTCTGAATTTCCACTCCAAGGAAAAGGTTGGCTGATTCAACAATGCCAACAAGCACAAAGTCAACCCAGGTCAACTGAAAAGATAAAGAAAACACAAATACATTTTGATTTCTGAATTTCAACACAAAATAATCAAAAAACCTTATTTTGACATAAACATATTACAATAAATGTTTCATTTAATGTATAGGCTATCAAACTAGTGTAAAACTGTTTCAGGAGCTAGTGACTTAGCCCATATCATTCCATTGTTAATTTATGGCGTGATATGTAGTAGACTGTTCTCAAGCAAGTTCATTTAATGCAGCTTTATATGTCATTTAAATATAACTAAACAATTTTTTTATTTTCATAATCAATTACAGCTTATTTCAAGTTCACTGCTTAACATAAGCTTCCCCCAATTGTCTCGTAGGACAAACATTCAGAACCGTTATAATTATTTATAGGTCATACAAACACGCGTGGGATGCGAAACCGGCCCTAAGCGATGTAACTCAATGCGCCAAGGAGCTGTCAATTATTAATATACTTGTCTCATTTTATTACCATTCGATAAAAAGAGACAGAGCATCTTTAAGCATTATTAATTGAACTCGATTTTTATGAGGCCGTAACTAAATAACATACAATAGTCTGACATGTGTGAAGAATTCAATTGGTAAAAAATTATAATTAAAATATCTATCAATTGGTTTTAATTTCACAACCACGACCCAGCAGTGAGGTGTCCTCCAAAGCACCGGGTATAAATAGCGCCATGAAGGATCTGATTATTGTTAATTATATGTTATGAATTCAGTAAATATTTACGCAAGCTCACTAAAACTTACTCCTTGTCAACTTACTGTACCTGGTATAAATCTTATAATATAAAATTGGATGTAGTTTCTACAGATACAATAGAACAAACACTACCTTAAAATTAAACTTTCATTAATTCCAAAACCTAAAATATACCTTTCCACCAAAGTGTCCCTTATTCTCCTTCAGGTATTTCTCAAATCTAGAGAAGTAGAAATCGATGTTCTCGTCAATAATTTCCTTCTTAATGGCCGCTTTTCTTGCAGGATCTTGCTCCTTAATGAAAGTGCCGACCTCTAAAATTGAAAACAACAGTGATACACTCAAAATATTTCTTAAATTGCCTATAGATAGAATTAGTAGTAGTTGCACTCCTTATTTCCTCACTGCTTTAGTAATTTTTTTACACGATTTGGTGACAAACTAGCACACAGTCCACCTGATGGTGAGTGGTTGCTGTGTCCCATAGACATCCACATCTATCCTCAATAAAGAATCAAAATGCAGATGCGTTGTCACCCGTGAGGACTAAGATGGAATGCCCCTTTTCCAGTTAAAAGGGTCTACTGTTCTCTACACTCACCATACGAAACACAGCAGTGTTAAGCTGCAATTATACGCTGGTATTCTGTGGGAGCGTGGTCCTCCCCCTGTCGAGCCGACCCATTCGTGCTACAACTATACTACTAATATAGCTGCAGCATGGCTCTACCACTTAAAAAAGTTTAGTTCGATGGAACAGCAATCCGACAAGATCGGTTAAAGATTAGGCGAGGGTTAACGGCTTAACGTGTTTTCCGTAAGACGGGGCTGAAACAACGCCCACTTCTTACGAGTGACTGCTGCTACTGAGGATATTTTTACAGAAAAACCCAATAGCTGACGTTGGCTCCACCAGGGTTTTGTGCGTAAATTATAAAGTGCGTAATCATTTGATACGCCCTCATTACGATATCAGCATCTCAAGATCGTTGCTAATTAATAAACACACAAAAACAGTATCTCAAAACACTGTACTTAGAAATACTTAGGAGTACTTAAGAAGTTCTGTGACTTGCACTCAAGTACACACACTTGAGAGTCGAGTTTCGTTTGTTAATCAGGTGATATCTTAAACCTAAGCCGCATCTTGTTGACTGATCAGACAGCTTTTCTAAGTGCCCGTCTGGATAGATGCCACATTTTAAATTATTTCTGTACATCCTTTCATTATACGTGGTAGAGCCATGCTGCAGCTATATTAGTAGTATAGTTGCAGCACGAATGGATTGGTTCGACCGGGGAAGGACCCGCTCTCACGGAATAACTGCGTAAAATAGCTTAACTTAGTACTGCTGTGTTTCGTATGGTGAGTGTAGTGTACCGGAGACCCATTTTACTGGAAAGAGGCGTTCCACCTTAGTCCTCACGGGTGGCAACGCATCTGCATCTTGAGTCTTTATTGAGGGTATATGTAGATGTCTATGGGTCACAGTAACCACTTACCATCAGGTGGACTGTGTGCTCGTTTGTCACCCTATCCTATAAAAAAAAGCATAACGACATATAAAAATATGTTACGCATGTACTAAATTTCTTACTTGACCAGAAGTCGTAGATGGTGAACACAAAGCTGTCCAAAACAGCCTGTTCCCAAGGATCAGTTGGCAGTAGATTTGCTTTTACAGCAATATAACGAGCAATTGCCAACGACTGAGTTAATTTGGCACCGCCTTCTTCATACAAAGGAAGTTGACCGTACGGTAGCGCTGGAAGAGAAAACGAATTTTTTATTCATCTTATGGCCCGTAAAATTCTACTGCTGGAAATGGGCTTCTCCCTTTCTAGGAAGTCTTTATCTTAATCTTCACGCTTGCCAGGTGACAGGAAGCAGCGACAAAGGTGCGAAACGTCTTTCATCATCAGGATGGAGTGACTCGTGACAGGAGTCGTATTCAGGAATGAACTTTAAGGACTGATGAAGAAAGTGATACAGATGAGATTTTTTTTAATTCAATATAACTTATTAAATAAAATACACATTAAAAGTTGTTTATAATACTTATCATTGGTTCGAAAAACACCTCTGTACTGGGAAGAACCAGCTAGAAACACGCGCGAAGTTGTGTCTTCTTTTAATATAAAAGTTTACAATTTTTACGTGAATTATTAAAGAAACAGCTTGGTAGCGAATATCTCATTTCCAAGAGATATTTTCATATATGAAAATAAATGAATATATCATAACTTCTTAAAAAAATGAATGAATATAATAACATCCCGCTCTTTAAGCAGGTTTTGCTTATCGAATATTTAAATTTGTTGATACACAAGCATTGAATATTTACTGGGATTTTATTGCAAAAGTATGTACATTAACCCTATGAATCAATTACTTACTCCGTGGGTATATTTTATAAGTATTATCTTTTAGACTGTTATTACTGTGAACGTAATTACTACTGTTATCGCTAATTTGCATTTGACTTATATTATATCAAAACGTGTTTTCACTAAGAAATTGACAAAGGAGAAGGCGGTAAGGCATTTTAAAAATTGCCATACAAATAAGAATATTTAATAGTCAAAATCTACCACTGACCAGTTCAAATACTATAATCTTTACAGACAAAGTTTTAAAAAAAATTGAATTAGCCTCTACTCCATTATAACCCCTCTCAAAAAGGTTGAGAACTGCAATTTAGAAAATCAACCTTGGCACTAATGCTTCATTATATAAGGTATGTGAGGGTAATATGATATATAACAATCATAGATTAATGATAAGTCATCGATGACTTATCATTAATCTATGCTAACAATACTACTTGTGATAATCTCTATAACTTTTTACTGGGTGAATCGATTTCGACTATTCTTTTTTTATTTGAAAGCTGGTGCTTCACATGTGGTCCCATATACATTTGATCAAGGTCTGATTAATAGTTTTTTAAATTATTCTTAATATAATTTATATTGAAGTCGGTTGTACAGAATTGTTAATTTTAAATTATTGGACTTTTATTTATACCAATATTAGAAATTATGTTCATTAGAAATATAGAATAATGTATTTTAAATAGACATAATCTAAATTCTGTAAAATAAATAAATTCCATTCTTCTTACTGCAATATTGATAACAAATCCGTTAGTAAAAAATATGTTATTTTATGATACATTATATTTATATATTTTGCGAACAAGAATAAACTTATGTAAATACTTACATTCCTTAACCTTCTTATCAGGCCAGGACTTCAAATCGTATCTAACATCCTCGAACTTTTCACCAGCATAGTGGAGCAAGTATCGGATAGACTCTGCAAGTCCGTTAAGGTTGAAGTAATGCAGTTTCTTGGCCATGTCTGTTACAGTTGAAGCCCGCCGAAATTAACTGAATTTTGATACAATAATACCGTATTTATAGCTTTGCTTTGCTTTTATCGGGTTACACACGTAATAAAAACATGGATAAGTATCGCAAGGCGTTTCACTTTAGATATTTGTTATGTAAACATTAAGGTCAAGAATGTTCTTGAATTTTGATAAGTAAATGACTTTAATTATTTCACCTTTATATAATTGATATAAACGATTTCTCAATCTCTCGAAATATATATTTTTTGTTAGTTTTTTTTTCTTATGTAATCGATAAACGAGCGCATAGTCAACCTGGTGATAAGTGGCTGCCGTAGCCCACAGACATCTACATGTATCCTCGATTAAAAATCAAAGTGCAGTCTCGTACAGTCGTTGTCAACCCTGACGACTAAGATGGAATACTTCGTAAATCATCTTTTTAGTTGAATTTTCACTTAAATATATAGATGAAAAATTTAAATGTAAGAAGAAAAAGAAAAAGACCACTTTATATTCGTTATCGTAATAGTAAAAAAATTCAAAGTCAATGTTATGACTTTCATGCCGATTTTATAACTTGTTAAAAACGTTGACCTTGACCTTGGATGCCAAGTGTGACAAATACATCAATTTATGTGTGACCCACCAACCTCTTTAAGATGAGGGTGATTGACAGTGGTCAAGTTAGGTGTATGGTTTTTTTTTTTCTTAGAATAAGCTACCTACAATTTAGGAATTCCTCATGTACGTAGGTCACTCATAAGTTTTGAGATATACAAAAAGTATTCTAGATACTATTAATATTTATTTTACATCTTTTCAAAATATTCTCAATCATGCTCTATACAAAGTTCCTTTCGCTAAACCAACTCTGAAAACACTTTTGCCAGTTTTGACAGGTCGGAAATCGCTTCTTCGTAGGCAGCCACGGCTTCTTCGGCGCTTACAAAAACTTGCCTTTTATTTTTTCTTTGACTCTTGGGAACAAAAAGAAATCACAAGGAAATGCTTAGTCAGGGCTGTAGTGTGGGTGACTTAGAGTTTCAACACCAGATTCCTCAATAAATGCTTTTGTTCTAAGGGAGGTATGTGAAGAGGCGTTATCGTGATGCAGCATTATTCCCCGAAGGTCTTCACTCCCGCATAGCTTGAAAAGCTTTGGATAATGCAACTGTAGTGTACCATTCAGAGTTGACTGACCTACAATTTTCCAGCAATCACGTCGTCAAATATCCGCTCCGCGAAAAAAAACTAGCCACCATTTTTTTGCTGACTTTGCGAGGTCTTTGCAATTTTATCGGTAACTATCCTTCTGAGTGGACCCATACCGATAATTGCCTTTTATTTTCCGGATCATATTGATAGATCCATGTCTCGTCATCAGTAACGATTTCCGAAATACGCCTAAATGCCCCGTTTTTAAAACGTAGACTCATTTCATGGCACCAATCCACACGAGTCTGTTTTTTGCTTTCGGAGAACAATCGAGGAATCCATCGATAAAAAAGTTTCCTCACTCCAAGATGTTGATGTAAGATGGTATGAATGCTCCCCAAACTAATGCCTACAATCTTTTCGATGTGTAAATCCGATTCGTGGGTCTTCTCGCACCAACATTTCAGTAGTCCATGCATTTTCTGCCGTTACTGCTGTTTGCGGGGCCCCGGTTCTTTGAGATTTGGTATTTATTAGTGATTTAAACAAATACTTGTGACATTAAGTAGACAAAATACTCAAAAATAGAAAATGGCTAAGTTAATCTCACTTTGCGGCAACTTTGCCATCAGGGTTTATAATGAAAATAGTTTTCACTGACTTCAAGATTTTACTTCAATGTTGAAGGTAAGTTTACCTCATAATATAGTATCACACCTACGCTAATAATATAAAAGTCAATGAACACAATACTCAGAGTTATGATTTGCTACTTATATTGGGTTTCAAATAGCAAAGTTTAGGCTTGTTGCAAAGTTGGCCTCTTATTTTTCACTTTTTCATACAAACTTGAAAATATGTATCAGGGTTGTCAAAAGCCCTTGATTACGTACGTTACTTAATTTTTTTTATTTAAAACCTGTCACAATAATTTCTAATCAAATCTAAAATTTAAAATCAAATTTGTGCAATAATAAGCTTAAATCAATTATATTATAGATAAAAAAGCTTGTCATAATTATTTTTAACAATTATTAATTTTTTTATTACTCATCGTCGTCATTTTATTAAGAGCCGTAATAAAATGATGTCAGGTAAAAACATAATTATTGTAATCAATCTAAATGTTGTTTTCCCACAATATCAAAACATTCATAATCATTAAAACTGACACTGTTTTGGGTGCAAATTAATGTCAACAGACTAAGTTGAAATTATCAATACTAAGTAGTAATAATATTATAAATGCCCGACAACGCAGTAAAAATAATATAGATTTCTCTTTTCCTTTCCTTTTTTTTTTTGATAAAGATGAATTGAGTGACGACTCATTTGGTTAAATCGGTCTAGTGGGCTGCTACGGTGAAACATGCAAACGGGGTAGAGCCATGCTGCAGCTATATTAGAAATATAGTTGTAACACGAATGGGTCGGCTCGAACGGGAAAGGACCACGCTCTCACAGAACACCTGCGTAAAATAGCAACTTAATACTGCTGTGTTTCGTATGGTGAGTGTAAAGAACCGGAGACCCTTTTTACTGAAAAAGAAGTATTCCATCTTATTCCTTACAGGTGACAACGCATCTGCATTTAAATTTTTTATTGAGGATAGATGTAGATGTCTATGGGTCACACCAACCACTTACCATCAGGTGGACTGTGTGTTCGTTTGTCACCCTTATCCTATTAAAAAAGTGGGTCGGCTTGACCGGGGTAGTACCACGCTCTCACATGATACCAGCGTATCAGCGTAAAATAGCAGCTACTCCTGTGTTTCGTATGGTTAGTGTAGACAACCAGAGATACTTTTCACTGAAAATGAGGCATTCCATCTTAGTCCTCGGGGGTGACAACGTATCTGCATTTTGATTCTTAATCTAGGATAAATGTAGATATGTCTATGGACCACAGCATCCATCTACTTGACTGTATATAAATAGTTAGTCGCTGAAATCAAACCTACGACGACCCACGATAGTTAACGCCTAACCATTTTGCTACGGAACCAGACAAAAGGAGGACAACTTACAAAGTAAAGAAAATAACTTTAACATACATATAATCTAGACTAGATGGTGGGACTCTTCTTCTGGCTAGGAGTAGCAGTAGGCTGTCCGTTTAGGTAATACGCTTTTACCTACTCCTGAAGCGAAATAGTAGTACTTGCACTGCTGTGTCCCGGCCTAAAAGGTATAGATGCAGTATAAATACAGGCTGTGAGAGATTTCATCTTAGCCCTCAGAGATGATAACACGTCTGTAGTATTCTTTGCTTGAAATTCGCTGAAGATGTCCATAAAATGAATTAGCCATTAACAATCGGTTTTATTAAAAAAATCCAAACCAGGCATTTAGTTAAGTACTAACTACAAATGTAACTGTATTTGCAGCATAATGGCGGCGTTAGAGAATCCATTACTCCATGTCTTCCCGTAGGTCTCGTAAAAGCGAATAATGGAAATGCTAGAAAAATCTCATGGTGTAAACGATATCGTAACGATAATGGTGCTATAGCCGTCTCGTTTATTCCAGACGCTTAATACTCAAAACGTTAACGAGCATCAGGAAATATTTGCGAGACGTCTGGTATTGCCATGAGAATGTCATGTATCAATGCCGTGCAAGAGTCGTGATAGCTCAGGGGCTAAACGCTCCCTGTAAATTTCACAGAAATCGAACAACCCGGGTCCAATAAAGAAATTGTAAATTGCAATTTTAGTGCTGATTTACCACGTGCTCGGCGGTGAAGGAAAACATCGTGAGGAAACCTGCATGTCGGGGAAATAACAATAAAAAATATTTCGAAGACATGTAAAGTTCACCAACATGCATTGGGGCAGCGCGACGGACATTTCCTTGTCCTAAAACCGTATATAGGCTATAACATGAACTTTATTTTTGGTACCTACTGCCATCGCCATTCCAGCTGCCAAGCAGGACGATTAAGACAAGTCATCCTTTCACAAGGAAAGGCACATGCTCAATAATGGACCTATATGGGAATAACATTAATAATAACAATAATAATAAATCTTTATTTCGGATAAGAAATGAGATCCATATCACAGTTATTAGAGAAATCACAAAATAATACTAAATAATAATACAGCTTGGTGGACGGAGAAAGTTAAATGAAACATAAATGCACATACGCACGCAAGCACACACACACACACACACACACACACACACACACACACACACACACACATACACGCACACGCACACGCACACGCACACGCACACGCACACGCACACACATACATACACACACACATACGCATACGCGCTCGCAGCCATACATACATACATACAACGATGTCATAATTTATTTTCAACTTTTTATTTTCCTTATATTTACAACGAGACAGAAAACCTACTTAATGATCTCATGAATGACCAAAGTTGATATCTTTTATCAACTTTGTTTATTTTTTGTGAAAAAGCCGGTTTGCAGATTATTTATCATGCTTAGGTTCTTTTTAACTTTAAATAGCATATAAGATACCCGTAAGTATATCAATCCATTACCTTGTCTTTCTTTTTTATGTGAAAAGCAATAAATATATCACTATTATATTCACTACCGTTATATGATAATTATTATTTATTGCATTAATCACATTTTCAGAACAGTTTGATTGTTTTTAGTTACATGGCCTCGATTCATCATTAATAGTGATAGGTCTCCTCTGCTTGGATATCCGGTAAATTTGGTATCGACCTTTTCCTATTTCTGACGATACGACGTGTTGAGTCAATAGGTAAGCCAAAGCAGCCAATAATGGATGCAGTTGGACCGGCCGGGGAATAACCATCCTCGCACAACATACCTGCGTAAAATCGCA